TATGTGAGTGAGTGTGACGAAGAACCAGAACCAGAAGCCGATGCACTGCCACTGCCACTGCCACTGGCACTGGCACTGGCACAGTGGCTTTGCTGCTGATGCTGATGCTGCGGTTGCTGCTGCTGCTGCTGCTGCTGATGTTGCAGCCATCGTCTGTGATTAAAGGCCACATGACAACAGCAACAAGCAGCAGAAAACGAGATGGAACAGCGGAATCGATGCCAAAACGTCCAACGAATGCTCTTCATATAGGAGGATAGGAGGATGCCTAAATCCATCTTTAGTAATCCTTTTTGGAAGTGTATTCCGTACTGGCTGTAGGGCTTTGCATTGAACGAGTGTCGCTCGTGATGCCGATGATGATGACGATGGTAATACTCGTATATTATAATGATCATCGGGATGATGACTCCTTCAAACTGCTGCAACTTGGAGCTGCATCCCAGCAGCATCCCAGGCATTTCTGGCAGCCTCATATTGAAACTGGAATTTGGATCCGGTTGCCGGTTGTGATGACTCTCCTCCATCTCCAACTCCGTGCCCCCCCACTGGGCCACGCTTTTGTTGTCTGATGCTTCTGCTGCTTCTGCTGCAGGGGCTAACATTTTGTTTGGGCCATGTTTATTAAATGCCATTAAAGCCATTTCTCTGATTTTGGCTTTTGCTCTTTCATGGCGAAGAGAGGGGAATGGAGGAGAAGGAGGAAGTTTCTGTGGCAAAGTTGCATTGTCAGCTGCAGCAACAACAACAACAACAACAACAAGATGAAAATTACTCCACTCAAATGTCAAAAGCTACAGAGAATGGACCAGATCTTTGCTGGCCGAAGATTCAGATACCCTCGGATTCGGACTTCGTTGCCCCTGGTCCAAGGCTGAGAACTGGGGAAAGAGACCATACCCTGTGGAAGGGTATGGGTCGACCACAACGGAGTCAGAGGCAGAGGCAGAGGCAGAGGCGCAATCAGCAAATTGCATTAAATGACTTTGTATTCGGCCCTCGCTCTCACAGATTTATTCCCGGGGAAAGAGACTCGAACCGTAGTCGTAGAAGTACGAGAAGTTGCACCTTCTGCAGCATCGATTGTCCGTCATTCGCCTCGTCATTTGTACATGCACACTCGTCCATGAGTACATAGAGGTCCTTGGACCAGGGAGGACCCGCGAGAGGGAGGCGGGGTCAGGAGAAGTCTGGTAAATGATCTAATGATTAATCCAGAGAGGGAACCTATCGCAGGCCCCCACCAGACGACGCCCCTGGCCATATTTCATTTGCTTTAATAAGCAATTTGATCGCTTGTCTTGACATTTACTGTTTACTATTTTGTGTAGCGTTTTTTCGCTCTCTCTCTCTCTCTCTCTCTCTCTCTGCCCATGAAATTCTGCTCTCCTGACCCCCATGCCATCGCCATCGCCATCGCCAGCTCCCTGCCAGCCCTCCCTCCCCTGCATTTAGTGCCGCCAGCATGAGGGGCGCGAGCGTTGGCGGGGTGGTGGTGGGGGTGGAGGTTATATCTGGAAATCTGTGGCGCACATTAAAACGTTTCACTTAATTAAAATCAATGGCAACAACTGCAGAATGACCGACCGCCCCCATATACTCGTATTTATTCCACACACACACCAGAGAGCGACTATTAGCGCCTGTGGAGACGTGTGTGTGTGTGTGTGTGTGTGTGTGTGTGTGTACAGTAGAAACAACAACTGCAGTGGCCACTACAACTACAACTACAACTACAACAAGAATAAGAAAGACACGACGTCTGCGGAGGGGCGGGCGGGCGAGCATTTTTACTTTGTATGACTAACGACTTGAAATTGCGCTTATTAAGACTTCCTGATTCATAATTTGTGGCATCAGCAGTAGCCACAATAAATGCAACAACAACAACAACAACAACAACAACAACAACAACTGAAAAGAGCTCCAACTACGGTGGAAAGGGGGGGCAGCCACTGGGAATCGACTGGGAATCGACTGGGAATCGACCCTGGAAAAGCAGTAGAGGACTCCTTCCTGTATCCAAACAAATTTTAGATGCTTCTGCTGTACGTTTGGTCGTTACTTATGGTTCCATTTAAGGACTATTATTCATACATTCTGCCAACGATTATACAACCCGCCAGAGCCCATCGCATTTCAGGCCAGTGTTTGCGTTTTTTTCACAGTATCGTTTGAGCCATTAACATCTGGCAATATGGCCAAAAGCTGCCAAATGATTATTTTGCTGTTTGCTGGAAAAAGTACTTGGCCCCTGCTGTTGTGCAACCTTTTCGATGGGTATAACCCAACCGAAGCCTCGCTTCTGGGCTTTGGAATTGGAATTGGAATTGGGTTTGTGCTTTCCGTAGAATTATTCCAGTGTTATGCAATTCCTAACCTCTAGCCGATGAGAAACTGGCACCCCACGAAAACTCCTCCTCAATCTACTTTTATAAATCTTTCGCTTGGATTTCGGCAAAGGTCCACCAGACCAGGCCAACACTCGTATTAGTTCCTACATTTATTGCAACTTAACTAATTTCATCCGTAGATCTGTGAAACGGCATTAACTTTGATGCGGAAACCTACCCAGAAACGGGAAAAGCTGATTTTGCAGTATTTTGTTGGTATTTTTATACCAAGCCATTTTTAAATATTTATTTTTTTGGATACCATATTTTCTTTTTTTCTTTCAAAAATTTCCTAAAAATTTTTTAATTTTTTTTTTTTTATTTTGTATCAAAATTCTTTCGAAAATCCCTCCTACAAATTACTAAAAATTTAAAAATTTCTTTAATTTTTATTGTTTGTTTTGTATTAAAGTTCTTTCAAAAATCTCTCGCACAAAGTAATGCATTTTTTTTTTTTTTTTTTTTGATAAAAGTTATAAAAGAACAATACCAAATTGCTGCTTATTTTTAAATTTGTAATAAGCCCTGAAACATGTTGAACATTAAATTAAAAAATTAAGTATTTTTAGCTGAAATCTATGCAAAAAATTCTAGAATAACTCACAATGAAATATTGCCTCAGGATTCGCTGTGGATCTCATTCGAATCAGTCCTTAGTTCATTGCATAAATGATATGTCCCGAAGGGAATCAATCCATCAATAAATATTCATCAGGGAAATGCCCTTCTGTCCCATGGGAAACAGCATCGGGATCCACCCTCGGATACCCTGTAATGTGGACAGAGCGTACGAAACTCGAGGAGCAGCCACTTGGCGCACTTTTGCACCATCGACTTTTGACGCGCAGAATTTGTGGGATTTTCCCTTCTCTTTCACTGTCGTTGTGTGTGTGTGTGTGTGTCTGGCTTTGTTTCTGGTCTGCAACAGTTGTTGTAAATTTATTAATTTTCCTCCTCCCTGCCCCTATCACCACCCTGCCAACTGCCCTGCCAACTGCTTTCTTTAGATTGTCTTCCTGGGGCCCTCGCCCCTTGTGGCATTCATAATTTTTGTAGAAAATTGAGCGAGGGAGGGGGTGAGGGGCGGCAGCGGGTGTTGGGAAATGTTGGTCATGCTGCGGGCAAGATTTTCAAGTGACACGAACAGTTACCGCCACTCACTCACACACAGGCATTCCCATTCCCCCATTCCATGCCCATTCCCCCATTCCCCCATTCCCATGGCGGAAACGTGGGAGGTGGTGGTGGATCGATCGGGAGTCAGAGGGAGGCTGGACACTCGCTTTGTGCATCAATCTGGTGGCATGAAGTGTTAATCAATATATGAATAGCGATACGAAGGCGATACGACGGGAGATTAAGGAAATGCACTATTTTGTCTGCGATGGCAGGGGAGTGGGGTGGGGCCTTCTTGATTTATAAATCAAACACTTCAAGGAATTTCGAAGCGGGCATTTCGGGGTCTGGGGCGGCATTTTGCATGACACTTTTGCCGCTGCTCGAAGGATGGGAGCCGCAAAGTCAAATACAATACGCACTGGTATTCGTCGAATGTTCAGCGAGTGCCTGTCCCCGAGTCTGACGAGTGCCTGACGAGTGCCTGACGAGTGCCTTCGGCTTCAGCTAAGCCTTTAAATTGTTCAACTATTTCCATTAATTGTGTTTGAAAATACTGCACTTATATTTATGGAAGCTTTTGTGTGCTTGGGGGGGTTTTCGTCGCAGGATAAGGCGTCATTGTTTTGTAAGGAGGATTATTATTTATCGTTATAAAATATCGCATGATATATGTTAATTTTTTTGACATTCTTGAAATTTTTCTAGTTTTTATATCTTATTTTTTTCTGCAATGCTAATGGTCTACTTCTAGTATTTTTTGGTATGCTTATGTCATTTTCGGGGTTTTTTCAAGTATTCTATTTCAGGTTTGATTATGGTCTATTTTTAGTATTTTTTGGTATGTTTGTGTAAGTTTCGGGTATTTTTATAGTATTTTGTTTAGTACTTTGTGTTAAATTTATGTTCTCAGTTGGTATTTTAATGGTATTTTCTTGTATCTTACGATACGGTATGGGATCTTTCTAGTATCTTATGAAATTCTGTTCAGTTATGTTTATGGTATATTTCTAGTATATATGGTAATTTTCGGCTATTTTTCTAGTAGTTTGTGGTAATTTCATAATATCATAAAGGTATATTCTAGTATTTTACGAGCTGTCTAATTTTCTGATATTTTTCTACCAATTGGATGGTATGTTTGATATTTTTGGTTGGTATTTTTTTCGGGTAATTCATGGGATTTTTCTAGTATCTTATGGAATTTTGTTCAGCTATGTTTATGGTATATATCTAGTATTTATGGTATTTTAATGGTATTTTTCTAGTATTTTGTGTTCGTTTTATGTTATCATCTGGTATTTTAATAGTATATTCTGGTATTTTTGTGGTATTTTTCTACCACTGGGTTATACCACAAATCCTGTGGCTCTGGAACTGCCAGAAAACTCGCACAAAATCGAATGCCCAGGCATTTAAGCATCTTCCACCCACAGAGGCACCCCCTTTATGTATATTTAAAGAGAAGGAAGACTGGTGCGGGCGACTCACCTGGTGATCCATGACGTTGACGCGCTCCTTCGATCCGCGTGGCCGTTGCCGGTGCCCACGGAAGCAGGCTATCCAGATGGTTGATGGCCACGAGGGCCAGTAGCAGGACGGCCAGGGTTGTCAACTGGCTGTGCTGTTTGCTGTGGTGGTGGTGCTGCTGCTGCAGCTGCTGTTTGTGGTGTTGATCCTGATGCTGATGCTGATCCTGGATCCTCGAGTGATTGCTGTCCTCACTGTGTTTTTGGACTGTGGCCTGGAATGTTTCGGTTGGTTCCGCCGCGGCGGTATGCGGAATGTCGCTCTCCACGCCCCCCTGGACGGTCAGAGCCGATGGCCGGGAGCGGGAGCGGGACCGGGGTCGCCAGCGGGAGCGCATTTTTGCGTTGTTGGGGGGCGGCTTGCGACCAAACCCGAATCCAATGCCCACGGGCGTCGGATTCATTTCGGTCGGAATGTCGTTCTCGCTCGCGGGCTTTTTCTTTCCCTGTCCGTCGGTGGATTTTATGTGTATTTTTTCGGTATTTTGTATACCTACTAAATTGTTGAGCCCGACACTCGTGCGTGTTCGCTCTCTCCTTTCACTCCTTCGCGCGTATTTACTTCTTATATATTATGACTTTATTTTTTAATTGGGGATTGCCTTAATGAAATAAACGAAAATTAACGCGATAAATTTGATAATTAATTTTTTGGATAACTTATGCGTCGTGTGGGAGGCCGGCGGCCACGGAGGCGGTTAGGCACTTCAAAGAGCAATTAATTAAATTGGATTCCTCCCTGCTGCCTCCGTCCCTCCTGCACGCCGTCCCTGTCGTCGCGGTGACGCCTCTTTTTGCCCTTCTGCCCGTTTTGCCGCCTTCGAGTTCGAGTTGAACTTTTTTTTTATGAAAGATAATTGCTAGCCCTCTCTCTCTCTCTCTCTCTCTCGCCTGCTCTCTCCTGCTCTCCCACTCTGTTCTTATCTCTCTTCGGCGCCTTTTTAACACTTTTTTACAATAATTGAAAAACTTTTCTCCCTCGCCTTTCGTCTCTCAACTTTTGCTCTTCTCATGGCATTTATTTTTTTTTATTTTTTTATATTTTTTTTCCCAGACACTTGAAAAATAAAAATTAATTTTGAGCCAGGAACTGTGTTGGAATCGCCGGGAATTGTGTTTGTTTATTGTTGTTTTTTAGTCGTTGTTGTTGCGTCGTCCCTTGCGTTTGTTGAGAAAATTGCACATCCTGTAGACGTTTTTCACTTGGCTTTTCACTGGCGCAGATCTGCAAGGAAACAGCGAGAATTGCAAATTTTATTATTTTTAGATTATTTAAAATGTAGAAAAAACACTCGGCGAAAAATGGCAGTGTAAAATAAAAAATTAAGTTAAAAATTGATTTTTCGTATCAAAAATGGTTTTTGCTCGGTCTATATTTAATCAAATTATAAAAACACTTAAACAATAATTAATTTTCAAAATAAATTAAAATAATATATTTAGATATATAGATTATAAGTGAATTTTTTTATAGAAATTATATAGACATATGTAATATTTTATTTAAACATAGTTTTATATTTAGATTAAATATTTTCTTTATATTTTTGGTATATGTATATTTTTTTAAGAAACTTCCGGAAAAATATAAAATATTCCCCGAAGAGTTTTCTGGATTCTCCATTCTCCATTCTCCGCCATTTTCCAACACTGATGGATCTAGTATTTCGCTGGTGTTGGGCCTCCACTCGCACTCGTGTGCACCGCCGCACCGCCCCCCAATTGAGCGCCAAAAGAAACTAATAATTCAATTTGTTGTAACAAAAGGCGGCGCCGCTTAGCATCAAATAAAATTACCGAAGCGACAGCGAAAAGGAAAACGAAAACGAAAGTGGAGGACGATGATGATGATGATGATGGGGAGAGTCACGGCAGAAAGAGAGAGAACAAAAATAGAACATTAAACAGATTACGTTAAATTAAAGCACAAATGAATTGCACGACGAAGCGAAAGCGAAAGACGAGAGACGGAGAGAGAGAGAGAGAGAGAGAGAGAGAGAAAAGCGGAAGACAAAATAAATAAAAAGTAAAGTATTAAAAAATGAGCCACAATCAAATACAATGGCAACCGAAGATCATAATAAGCTGTGGGTAGGGGCGGACTGCGGGGGGACGGGCATCCACATGTGGCATCCACATACAAGTGAAAAATCACTCAAAGCAAAGACCCGTTGCCAGGAGGGGGTGGCAATGAGGGGGTGAAGGGGGGGAGTGTGGTTAGGTCAGACCCCGGGGGGATGGCAGGGTAGGACCAACGACGACGACGGCAACGAGTCAACAAAAGAAATTGCTAATGTGGGCAAATAAAAATGGCACACACACACACACACACACACACACACACACACGCAGTGGAAGTGGCATCCAGTGGCAGTGTTAGACAATTGAAATTGAAAATCAGTGAAACCTGTTTTCACACACAAAAGCTCACGCATCGCAGGAAAATTGCACAGCAAAACAAGGCAGGATGAGAGGGAGAGGGGTAGAGAGAGGTGCAGAGAAATTGGAAAAATAGAAAACAAAAGAGGGAAAACCATTGAGAAGCGCCAGGCAGGGGCGGGGTGGGGTGGGGAAGGGCAAAGGCATTGTCTCTCCGATGATCCAGCCGAGGCCCGCCTTGTGTGTGCGTTATATGCGCTAAAAAGATGGTATTTTTAATTGAAATGCTATTCTCTGAGAGGTCCCAAAGAGCAGCAGACAACGCCGAAGCAAACACTCGAAGGAGGCCCACAAAGGAGGCTACTTGGATCGCCTCGAACCCACATCCATTGGCAGATCATCTCGCGCGGAAGACAGTCACACACATCCCTCCTTTCCTCAGCATTAGTCTTAGTCCATCAACATCCAGATTCAGTTTGAATGGTTTATTTGGTGCCCAGAAAGGAGTGAGGGAAACACTCCATTGCCGATGGGATCGCCAACATTAATTTGAGACTCTTCTTATGCCACTGAAAAATAGCCAAGGCTCGTACGATCGCCGTGATTGGAATGGAAACGGAGCTAGAAAGCCCCGACATTCCCCATAAGGACAAAACATTCCAGAAGAAATTTCTTTGCTTGGCTCAAGGGAAAGACAGGGCTTCTCTCTCTCCCTCTTTCGACTGTCTATATTTCTCTACGAAAATCTCTATCCTTGCCTGTGAGTCTGAAGTCTGAATTAAGACGAAAGTGAGCTTCAGAAAGGATCCTTCTAGGTCCAGTTCGTAAGATTTGGTCTCTCCTTCGATTGGCAATAAATTAGTAACAATTTTTGATTCAAATTTAAGGAGGGAGGCCCCTGTAAGAGGCTGCAAGTGCCTCTCAGATAACCGAAATGAGAGCCCAATTTGATCACTCCCTCTCTCTCTCTCTCTCTCTCTGTCTCTGGGCTCTTTCGGTGAAAATCCCACATCAGCTGTGGGCGGCCATCATCAAGATGAGAGCAGCCGCTGGACCCGTGGACCATCGTCATCTGTGACATTTCGCCACGCAAATGAAAAGTTACGCGAATCAGCGGCAGCCACACGGGGCAGGGGCACGGAGCGGGGGCACGGAGCGGGGTGGCTAGGCTTGTTGGTAGTCGAGTCGAGTAGAGCCGTGCGCCGTGCGCCGTGGGCCGTGGCACACCTGTCCGTTTTCATTACGCGGCAGCCAAGAAGAAATTGCCAAAGCCATTTTCGAAAATGGTCGCAGGAGGGTGCCAGAGGAGAGAGGGGCAGAATATCGCCGTAACTTGAAATTGAAATGGGCAATGAGGGGAAGGGAACGGAGGGAAGGGAGCCCCCGCACCGCGCCACCGCCTAACGATCCAATCTCCAAGCTCGACCCCCTCGAAAATCATTTGGAATCGGGATTTATTGCGCGGGCCTACTCGAACCCCAGAAAGCCAGAAGCCCAGAAGCCCACAAGCCCAGAATCCCAGAAGCCCAGAATCCCGCTAATGTTCGCGCTGAAGTCCCCCGCCAAAAAGCGGGCCCAGGACCTGCGTCTGGGCCTCGGCCGAGTGGCAGGAGAAGACAATGAAAGACAGCAGACAGCACCGCAAAATGTTTTGGCCAATTGGCCGCACTGGTGGAGGGGGCGGGGGGGGTGGGGCGTGGCGGCTGCGGGCCGCATCAGGTGCGCATTATGTCAGAAATATGAAATATGATAACCGCAACAAAAATGAGTACTCGCTGAAATGAAAGCGGAGAGCGCAAAGCGCAAAGCGGAATGCCAACAAAATTGAAAAGAGGAGCACGAGAACGAAGAGGCCGAGAGAAGAAAGCCCCAATAATAAATAAATAAAAAATAATACCATAAAGTACCAAGCACTTCAGCAAAAGAAAAGTTTACAACAGCCAAAAAAAAAAACAAGGAGAAAAAAAAATGATTGAAAAATTTAAAAATTTTGGTTTGACATTAGGAAAAAATATTTACGGATTGGTGGCCGACGAGGGGGTGGAAGAAATATTAAGCGGAAATAAATCACATTTTGAGGGAGAGCCGAAAAGGAAAACAGATTTTCGGGTGGAAGGGGGGATGGGCGTGGAGCCAGCACTTCCGCCCTCAGATCCAACGATATTTATCAATCATAAGAGCATTATTTACATATATGCAAATGTCTATTGGGTAAAGGGTACCCTGTTCGAGGGTAAAATTTGGTTTTACAAATTCTAGATGAACCAAAAATTGAGATATACCAAAAGAAATTAGTATTTAAAAAAAAATCATTGCTGAAGGTTTTAGATAAAGCCACACAAAAAATTAATTTTCAATATACTTAAAAAAAAAATGTTTTTTAAATATTTTAGATGAACCCAATATTAAAAAATAGCAAAAAAAAAAAATAATATATATTTATTTTACTTTGGAAACCAGGATATCCCATTTAATTCATAAAAGTTGATTTTTTTTCAATTCTATTGTACTTAAATTTATGTTTTTTATCGGCAATAATTTGTTCGAGTTTCTTAGTATTTTTTGGTCCATAAATTTGACCATCCGTCGTGCTTACTGAATAAATCAGAGATCACGAATTACACAAATAACAATCCATTGATTTCTGCCTTTTATTTTTAATTTTTATCATCATCAAAATTTAAATAAAGTTCTCATCAATTAATAAAAGAGTTACATATTTTTGATTTTAGCACAAACAAAATCTCAAATTAATTTTTACTTCATAATTTTGTACAAAAAAAAATAATATATATATCATTCGATTAAGCAATCCATTACTGATTCCCAAGGAAAATCTTCGGTTAGATTTTGGAAAAAACCGAAAAATTCGTAGATCGGAAATCGTTTGATTTCCTTCGAATATGCTTCAAAGGGAAATCCTGGGTACCCCCCCGCGGTTGGGAATACATTAACTGAGTTTTCAATCTGAAAAGCACTCCCCTCCCTGCCGCCCACTGGAACCCCTCTTGGCCGCTTCTTTGAC